TTTTTTATTATTATGTATATATATATACAATAAAAAATTAATATTTTTCTTTTTTTAAAATTTATCATTCTGATCTGCGACGCACAGCTCATTCATGATCACTAATCAACTTCTTGTTAAATCACAAAGGAAATCAAAAATAAATATTTTTTTATCAAAGTTGTAGATTCAGAATTTAAGAATTTTAATTACAATCAAATAATTACAACGAAAAAATACTTGATTCGTAAGCGTAATTACGAAACCATTTATAATTTACAATTACAATTTACAAATTTTTAAAAAACAATAATATTGAGAAGATTAAACAGATAACAATTCAAACAAATTTGGAAATTAGAGATCTTTTTTAGAAATGTTTCAATGCAAAGCTTGTCAAGCCAAATTAGTTAATCCGGTTCGAGTAAATTGTCTTAAATGTAAAGATGTAATTCTATGTGTCACCTGTTTTTCCAACGGTGAAGAAGTTGGTGATCATAAAAATTATCATAACTATCAAGTATTGGTAAGCAATTTTCATGTGATTAATAATGCATATATACAAATACTACCATCAACATCAATATTAGTATAAAGATCCAGGAAAAAAGAGAAATATAATAATACATATATGTATGTGTGCATATTCATTAAATCTATTAATATATATTTTTTTGAATTTAGGAACAATTTTCTTTTCCTTTATTTACGGAGGATTGGGTAGCAGATGAAGAAGAATTATTGATAGAAGGCATGCAAATGCATGGAATGGGTAATTGGGAAGACGTTTCAGGATTTGTTAAAACAAAATCAAAAGAAGAATGTGAAAAACATTACAAGGAAATCTATTATAATAGCGATAAATGGCCATTACCAAAAATTGAGGTAATGTAAAACAACAGCAACGTAAACATTTAAATTTGGTGATAAAATACACAAATTAGTATACATGTATATTGTCATATAATATAGAATGCTGATATAAAATTCAATGTTGATGAAGAATCAATACGAGAAAGGAAACGACGTCGTTATGAGATGATGGATATTCCTAGAAGTAAATAATATAATAATAATATAAAAGCATTGATAATTTTCTCTCACCAAAAAAATCCAAAAACTGATTAATGAATTTATTTGACAGGTTCATCGGCAAAAACCCTCAGAAGTCAAAAGGTTATTATTATATATATAACAAGATGAAATTCATAATCCATTTATGTTTCTTTTAATAATTTATAATTTTGTGTTATGTGTATGGTCTTTAAATCAAATCATTAATTTAATAGCCATTACAAAGTTTACCATCAAATCATGAAATTTATGGGTATATGCCACTTCGAAAGGAATTCGAGACTGAACATGAGAATGAAGCAGAATTATACATTAAGGATTTGGAAATAACGGATAAGGATTCACAACTAGATTTTGGTATATAATTAAATATTGGTTTATAATATATGTTTAAATAATTATAGTTATATTTACATATATATATATATATATATATTGGTTTATTAATTTAATTTCTTAATATTTCAATAGAGTTAAAGGTGACAGTTTTGGAAATATATAATAAAAAATTAGATAAACGAGCAGATAGAAAAAGATTAATATTTGAACATGATTTAATAAATTATAAAAATAATGTAAAACCCATAAGTCTATGAATATATATTTCTAATTATTTAATCAATCAATCAATTAATCAATCAACCAATCAATCAATTAAATAAATAGTGGTAGTAGCAATAATTGTAACAATTAAATATTTTTAAAACTTTTTAGAAAACTTTTGAGGAAGAGAACTATAAAACCAAAGAAGAAAAAGAATTTGCAAATAGGATTAAACCATTCACACAACTATTATGTAAAAAAGATTACACTACATTTAGAGACGATTTAGTTGGCAAGTTTTTCAATGTTTATAGCATGTATAGCATCATTAATAATAAATAATGATTCAACAATAATATTCTTTTTTTAATAGAGGAGGATGGAATAAAAGCAAAAATAGAAAAAAGATTAGAGTATCGTAAAATGGGAATAAAGACTCATTCAGAATCATCGAGATATGAAAGACGAAAATTACAAAAAGTGAGGTTTTTAAAATTGTTTATTCGAGTCATCCATCATCTAATCAAAACTGTCATAATTAACTAATATAATTAATATTGTGAAAATAATATTAGGAAATAAATCGTGAACTTGCTGCACAGCCACATACTGGACATTTAACAAATGTTTCAGGCAGTGATAGATTAGCTGCTCGATATGTATCTAAAGTGTCGCCTGTACGATTTAATGAGGTATTGATCTGTAGACTTTTTATTATTTTTCAATCAAATTATTTTATTATCATAAATATTATTTATTATTTATTTTTTTTTTTTGTAGCATTCACCTACAAAACCACCTAAAAAATCATCGACATTCAATTATCATCAAATAATCAAGAAGAAAAATATACTCTATTAAACATCATATAATTATTAAAAGTAATTATTCTAATTGTATTATAATGAATTTCTAATCTTTGCACAAATTATAGTTTTAAAAAATTGGTATTAAACAAAACGAGTTACACATTGTTAATAATTCATGATACTTACTACTGATGAGAATAATCACAATGTCCTGTTTCTGGATATTCAACCAATCTCGACTATCTAATTTTTTTATTTGTGCTATAACCTTATGATCAGGCCTTCGTGCATGTTTATAATAACCCTTCCATTCTGCACTGGCTAAACTTGTTTCATCCCACTGCTTTCCAAAAACGTATGATATCTGGAATTTGTAGTTTTGAAAAAATTCTACCACGTATCACGCATTTTCGTTATTTACAAGGACACTGGTCGTACACTTTATAGTAAACTTTACAATGAGATGAAGTCCGAAGTCGCGATTAGCAAGCCGCAAATTGGATCAGAACATATTTGTGATTCTTTTTTAATACACATTATTGTTTGGATAATGTTTATTATGTATGATCCCGGAAATAACTTTACACACGACTTGTACAATTACCACTTTAATATATTAATTGTGGGCTTGCGGATAATTGTGGCTATAGAAAAATAGTTGCGACACACGGTTGCGTCTTTATTTTGAATCCACTATTTCTATTGATAAGTTGCAAAGTGAAACTACCAACTGAAGAAGATTAGCAGCCGAATTTGAGAGTTAAGGTGATATTGGCGGCACTCAGGGATATGGACCTTGTGATAATCCAAGTTCGCGACATAAAGGTTTTATATTATGCTAAAATTATAATTTGTAACATCTAAATTAATTGCGAGCATTATGATATTTAGCATCCATCTTCCTAAAGGTTGTAGAACTGAGTCGTGACGTCTTAACTGATTGCTATGAATACGATGATTAGAACTTGTCCCAATACGTTAATTATAAAAGGTCGAATTGGCCCACCATTACTAGTAGAAGTATGTCGTATCCAGGGCCGGCTTAATTGTGGGACACATTATACCAAAAAGCTTCAATTAGACATGTCTATAGAGAGTCAATGGTAATTTATCAATAATTACAATAAACCTGCAAAATCCAATTATTAATCCTATTCAAAACAACAACAATTTGAATGGTTATTTTAATTGTGCCATAATATAGAATTCTCATAATGTTGTTGAAATTTAAATAGCTCGCTAATTAAAAAAATTAAAAGTCAAATTGCAAGGAAAGGTAAAAAGTGTACCATCAAAAAGCGGGAAAAGTTTTAAGAAAATCATATAGGTTAAAAAATAGAAAGGTGTTGGATGTAAATCAAGTAACTCTAGAAAACAATAAAAGCTAGGGCTTGCAATATCTAATTTTTTTGCTTATTTGATTGAGGGTGGTATTAATAATCGAATGTAGAGAGTATAAATTGAGTGAGGCAAAAACCTTTTCTAGTTTTGTGTTAGAGACCCCTGGTTAGAATTACCAACACGCCATTACTTTAACCACTGTTTACGAATAACGTCATTCTTTATACAATGTCAATAATCAGAAGTTTTTAATCGATAATAATTTATATGAAGAATTTTTTAGTTACTTTCAAAATTGGGCTTTCCACCAAATTTACCATAATCATCCTAATCCACCAGTATTCATTACTCCATGTAATAAACAAGCGATTTTTAAAGAGGGGATTTTGTTAAATTTGATAAAACGATTCTTATGTGGAAAGTTGTGCTAATAAAAATAAATTTCTTTTTATTTGACTTTTATATTGAAACAAATAAAAGCCGAAAATTTTTTTTGCATTTTTCGTCGAGAAACTAAACATATTTTCGCAGCTATAAATATTATATATTAAGTAAAATCAGGTATCAGTACAAATCATATAGTTACGCATTTTGTAGAGATGTTGTTGTCTCTTTTTTTAGTTTGTGCTGGTTTTTCTTAATATTAAATAATAAAGACATTATATTAATTATTCTTTCAATCAGACAAATTAAAGCTTTCATTGTTTTGTCAATGTAAATTAATCGGCTGGATAAAAAAAAAAGTGTCGAAGGACTGACAAGAAGATGCATTTCTGGATGTATCTTGTTTTTGACAAATTATTGTCTTCAACAAATATTATTATTAACTCTTTTATTTCCTTGGAGAGGTACTACTATATATGATGCGAAGGATGAAACGGTGAAAGCTTGGCAGCGGAATGGACAAAAGGTAATATATATTGGTAGTAATAAATTTAGCTCAACCCTTCAAAAAGAAATATCCAATTGTTTAGGGACCCTGTTCACAACCCCCAAACATCACGCTAAAGTAATATTGAATCAGGAACGCACTTTTATAACGTGATAATTTAATTGGATGGATAATAAATTTTCTAAATATATAAATAATCTCTGATTTATTACAAGCTTTATCATTTTTTTTAAAAAAACAATAATTATATATCCAAAATGGTAATAGATTCAACAAAAGCAACACCAGCAAAAAAACACGTACGTTCTCACACTGGAGTCCTAAGAAAAGAGCTTTTAACAGCAGAAAAAAATTATCCAATTACTTGTCTTAATTTATGGGAAAAATATTCTGTTCAAGAATCAAATGGTATAAAACTAATTAATTATTACAAATAGTTATTATAAATGATATCATGTGTATAAAAAAATAAATTTAAAATAATAATTATCATTTGAAATCAGATAAAGAAAGCTTCCAAAAAGCATTTATCAATCATGTAACAACTACACTTGCTAGATCCATTTATAATGTTGACGATTTTAGTGCTTATCAAGCAACTGCTCACACGTAGGTCTAGATTTTAAATTTTTAAAAAATGGTTGTAATTCATTATTATATATATACATTATTACGTATATGAATATATTTATATAGTGTTAGAGATACATTGATTAAGCGTTGGAATTATACCCAACAGGTTTGTTTTGTAAATTAAAATCCTTGCAAATAAAATAATCAAAGAATAAAAATTTCATTCGTGCCTCTGATTGTTTAGAGACATACTGAGGTTGATCCTAAGCGTGTTTATTATTTATCATTGGAATTCTTGTTGGGTCGATCATTGGACAATGCTCTTCTTAATTTAAGAGTAAAAGATGTTTGTGGAGGTAATTAGCATAAAAATAATCTAATAATCTAATAATCAATCAAATTTTTTCTCTATTAATTATTTACATATTTTGTATATGTTATAGAGGGAATAAAAGAATTAGGTTTTAGTATGGAGGATGTTCTTGATCAAGAAGTTGATGCTGCACTTGGTAATGGAGGTCTAGGCCGTCTGGCTGCTTGTTATATGGATTCTTTAGCCACTTTAAATATTCCAGCCTGGGGGTATGGTCTTCGTTACACTTATGGTATTTTTCAACAAAGGTAAATAATAAATAAATATTAGATTATATAATCTAAGGAAATAATATTAAATGCTATAGAAAAAGATTTCTTACTACTATGAAAATATAACATGTTAAAATGCTTAACTTTTTTGTAAACATTTACTTTAGATTAAAGGATGGACATCAAGTAGAATTCCCTGATTATTGGTTAAATTTTGATAACCCTTGGGAATTGCCACGTCTTGATGTTGTAGTTGATGTTAAATTTGGTGGATCTGTTAATAAATATACTGATAAAAATGGCTGTGAAAGATATTCCTGGGAGGGTTCTGACACTGTAGAAGCTGTTGCCTACGATGTTCCCATTCCAGGTAATAGAATATTTAAAGAAATTATATTTAAATTGTTTGTAAATATTCGCACCACATGCATTGAACCTTTCATTTGCTCATCTCTTCATTAATTAATTTATTTATTCACTCACTTATAGGTTATGATACCAACAATTGTAATAATATTCGATTATGGAGTAGTAAACCTAAACGTCAATTTGATCTTAAATATTTCAATGAGGGAGAATATGAGAAAGCTGTGCAAGAACAAAAACAAGCCGAAAATATAACTGCAGTGTTATATCCTAATGATAATCACATGGTTGGAAAAGAATTACGTCTTAAACAACAATATTTCTGGGTTGCTGCAAGTCTTCATGACATGTAAATTAAATTGAATCTGAAGATTTTGATTTTTTTGGTAGAAATGAAAAAATATTCAAGTAATATTTTATTTGTATGTAGTGTTCGCCGGTTTAAAAAATCAGAGAGACCATGGAGTGATTTTCCTACACAAGTAAAATTTATTTCTTAATAATAATAATTTTGTTATTAACGTAATTTTTAATTAATTTTTATTTAATTAATTAGGTCGCAATTCAATTGAATGGTATATAATCATCAAACATTTGGTCATGTATTATTTTCTAGAGAAAAGATTTTTTTTAATACATGTGTATCTTTTATATATTAGACACTCATCCAACTCTAGCAATTGTTGAACTTCAAAGAATTTTAGTTGATATTGAAGTAAGTCATATATAATAATTATTATATTATTTTCATTTTAAAAAAATTTTTTTTTTAAAATTTATTTATTTATTTAGAAACTTGATTGGGATGAAGCATGGGAAATTGTTACCAAAACATTTGCTTTTACAAATCACACTATACTTCCTGAAGCTATGGAGAAATGGCCAGTTCCTATGGTTTCATATATTTTACCAAGACATATGCAAATAATATTTGATTTAAATCTTGTAAGAAAAAGATAACGATTTATGAATTATTATTAATTTGATTTATTTGATTTATTGATCTCCATTATTTAATTTACTTGACAGTTCTTTTTACAAAAAGTTGAAAAAAAATATCCAAAAGAACGAGATCTTTTAGCCAAATTATCAATTATTGAAGAAGCATCTCCACAATTTGTCAGGTTAGCTAATTATTACAATCTTAATATTAATGATAGTTTCATATATATTAAAATTAATTAAAAATTTTTTTTTTGGTTGAATATTTTGATTTAATAGAATGGCACATCTTGCTATTGTTGGTATGTTAATTGTTATTTAAATTATTTTTTTACTAATGTTATCATATTATCATATTATCATGTTAATTAATCAATTAATTGACATGAAAATTGTAGGTTCACATCGTGTTAATGGAGTTGCTGAACTTCATTCAAGATTAATTAAGGAAACGGTAAATTATTTATTATAATAATTGTTTTAATAAAAATGATTTATTCTTTATTCTTTTGATTTTTTCATATTTTATTATTATAATTATTAACATTATTAGATATTTAAAGATTTTGTAAAATTTTATGGTCCAGACAAATTTGAAAACAAGACCAATGGTATTACTCCTCGCAGGTACTCATTTGTTAATTCATGGGTGGATATTATGGTTTGTTTATATATGAAGAAAAATGCAAAATCAATTTTCTTTACTTTTTGATTTTGCTTTCCTTTGGTTTTTAGATGGTTACATCAAGCAAATCCTAAATTAAGTGATTTGATAACAGAAACATTGCAAACTAAAGAATGGTTAAAAGATTTATTCATATTAAAAAATTTAACAAAATATGCTGATAATCCAGATTTCAAGAAAAAATGGAAAGCTATCAAACATTCAAATAAGGTACAAGCATAATATTTTAGTATAATATATATTTTATAAATTATATTTACATGTGTGCCAATAATTCTTATATTTTATTTATAACTATATTATAAAAGGTGCGTTTGGCTGACTATATTAAAACACATACTAACATAATAGTAAATCCAAATGCCTTATTTGATGTTCAAGTAAAAAGAATTCATGAATATAAAAGACAGTTTATGAATATTTTGGGGTAATTATAATAATTATTTGACATAAAGAAATGTTATATTTTTATTTCAAACCAATAATTTAAAAAATGTTTTTTGAAAAATATGTTGTTATAGTGTTATTCATCGTTATAATGCTTTGAAAAAATTGAGTGCTGATGAAATTTCAAATGTTGTCCATCGTGTTGTTATATTTGGTGGTAAAGCTGCTCCTGGTAAATTAATTAAAAACAATAATGTTATTCATCATTTTTATTATTAAGTTTTTTTTTGCTGTTACTGATAATAATTATTATTGTTGTTATTTGTAATTAAAAGGTTATTATATTGCTAAATTAGTAATAAAATTGATAAACAGTGTTGCAGAAGTTGTTAATAATGATGAAAGTATTTATGATTCTTTGAAAGTAAGTAGAATATAATTATTATAATGATTATTATTATTTAAAATTAAAATTAACACTAACATTATAATTAATATTTCTTCATTCATCCATCCATCCATCATTACCATTAATATTTCTAATTACTTATCATCATTCATTTAACGTCCTTAACTTTAGGTTGTTTTTATACCAGATTACAATGTATCAGTTGCAGAAATTATTATTCCAGCTTCAGACATTTCACAACATATTTCAACAGCTGGTACAGAAGCTTCTGGTACAAGCAATATGAAATTTGTGTTGAATGGTGGTTTGATTCTTGGAACAGTTGATGGTGCTAATGTTGAAATTCACCAAGAAATTGGCGATGAAAATATTTTCATGTTTGGAAATTTGGCTGATGCTGTTGATGATTTAAGACATGCTCATAGGTGTGTATCTATATTTAAAGGAAGAGAGAGTGCGTGTATAAATAAATATTAATGTTATTTATTTGTGATTTCCTCCTGCCCCAACATCTTTCTTATTTTCTCTGAAGATATCGAAATGTCGAGATGGATCCAAAACTAAAAGAAGTTTTAACAAGTATCGAATCTGGACAATTTGGTGATCCAAGAATATTTTCTCCATTAATCAATACATTAACAATAGGCAAAGATTATTATTTAGTTTCCGATGATTTTGGATCATATCTTCGATCACAACAAATGATTGATGAAGCTTATAAAGATCAAGATGAATGGATAAAGAAAAGTATTTTTTGTACTGCTCTTATGGGCAAATTTTCTTCGTAAGTATTAATTATCATTTATTTTATTTTGCATAAGAATAAAATGACTTGGAATTTATTACATCACTGTCTTATGATTCTGGTAAATAATAATGATCAATTAAAAATTTTCTTGTTTTGCTTTTTAGTGATCGTGCTATTCAAGAATATGCAGATAGTATTTGGAATGTCGAACCAGTTAAAGTCGTTTAAAAAATTTTTTAATTGCTTTGCCATGTCAAAGAAATAATGTGTAAAAAATAATTTCTACAAAATGTAAAAATAAAGAAATAAATTATTTAATTCTTTCACTGTCAATTAATCTCTTGATTCTGTTTGTGAATTTTTGTTTCTTCTCTAAAAGGATTATTGTTCCGATGAATGATATTATCATCATAACAAATACCTTCTGGATGTCAGTCAACGTGGGAACACACTACTGCCATTTCTATCTATTTTTCAAATACTACTTTGCGTTATTGATTAATTTCTTGGTTGGTCATAATGTTAATTTTATGCACTTAGTTAATAAATAAATCCTACACGGTTATCATCAAGTCTTTTTTAACGAATACTAACAACATTGATCTTGCTCAAAAAAAAAACAAAAAAATTAACTACTTTCTTGCATACCTCAAGGATTTCTTTATCATGTCGATTCATATCAATTTATCTGAAGAAAATTACAATTTTTATGGAAAAATATTCGTATCAATAATAAATGATAGTAAAGGGAAAGATAATGTTTTTTTTTAAGTAGAAATTTTCGACATAGATGAACTAGCACAGGGTCATCCGGTGCATACAAAACACGAGGTCTCAGAGCCTCTTGAGGCCAGTTCAAATATACGGATCTTATCGATATTATATGATGTTGAAGTGAGTTAGAAATTCATATGAGCTGACTTTTAGTGATGAGTGTAAAAATCGATCCATATTAATTTGATCACTTTATGTTATCAACTTGCAGGTTTTTTATTTTTCTATAATATATTTATAGGGTGAGTCAGAGGTTGGGGAAAGCAGTAGGGGTCTTGGAAGAGGAGGTGATATTGGAGGTGCCAGTGACGTTGGGGGAGGCGGTGCTGGTGACGTTGGGTCCTTTCTTATTGCTATATCTCGAAAGCTTTATGTTCTAAAAGAGAAATAAAACAAAAACTAACAATAATCATCAAAAAATTAAGTCACAATTCAACTTCAAAATTGAATGGAAAAGGATTTGCGCTCACAAAGAAATATATGTATTTCTGTTAATAATCAAGATGTCAGCCTGTAATTAAAATCAATAATGAAAGTATTTCGTATTAAAATATATTCAATAAAAGTTCTGCCCTTAACCTATCGAATGGAAATGTTTTCTATATGAATTAATGCAGTGGTTGTTTCATGATGATTAATTTGATTTTTCTTCTTTCGTTTTTCTTTTTTTAAAAAATCGCATCCAGGATTAATGTGGCAAATGCATTCTAAAAGACTATGTCCATATAGAGCACACACTGTATGTATGTGGTGAAGAAATAAATTGCATAACAAGTACAAAAAGACTGAGGTCTCGATATAAGATTTCTGATTAATTTAATTTCACATGTGGAAATTTAAAGTTCACATAGATTTCAAACTCACATACAGCAAAATGATGCAAATGATGTTATGATGTTTGAAAATCTGTACTCGAAAAGCTTATACAATGAAAAATTTCTGATGATATTTGTTTATTCATTTATTTATTTATAAAAACAGAAAAAGGAGTATGTTATTTGGTTATTATTATTATTATTATTATTATTATGTATGCACCAATGAAAATAAAGATTTGAATACAGCATAGAGTCAATTAAATATTTTTGTAACCATCTTAAATTATATGATTAATTTTAAGGATATTGAGATTCGTCATCTTTAAAGGATCAAATAGATAATAGTGATTATAATGGCGATTTCGATGTTATCAATGCTGAAAATAATATTGATAGTAGTGTAACTATGATTCCGACAAAGAAAACAAATTTTTTCTGATGGAACTGATGAAGGATTTTATTTTGATCCTACACAGATCAAAAAGGATTTTAAAAAACAAGCTAATTACTTTAATACAAAATTAATAGTTGGCTCGATCTAAAGACCTCCTAAATTTTGGGCAAATTTTAAAAGTATAGAAGTCGCTTTCTGTCCTACCTTTTAAAAAAATAGCTCTATTAGTTGATATAATATGTCTTTAGTTTTGATCTAATAGAGAGATTTTCTCAAAAAAATTATTTGTTGTAGAGTTCTATTCTTTTTTAAAACATGTACTTTACTATGCTCGCGAGGAATTTGTCCGCTATGATCATTTCTAAATTTAGGAAAATATTACCAAATTTAGACTAGCTCTTGACTATCGTATCTAAATTTGGCAGTAAGAAAACTAAAATCACGTGAAGTCCTATTTTTTGAAACATTTTTGAACGAATTACAAAATTGCTATTTTGAAATTTGGCCGCATGGAGCAGCAATAGGAGGTCTTTAGACCGAGCCAACCATAGGTTCTACGTTTTGAATAGATCAGTTATTACTATTTGTAGCAATTATATGAAAATCATTTTTAAAGAAAATGAATTCTTTTCGCTAGGAATAATTAATAATCACAACATAAGGGCAGAACAGAAAGAGCTTTATAAAGCTTTTTTTTTAAAAAACAAGTCATTGAATGAATTATCTCTAAATATATCCGATCGATGCACAATTAAATAAGGTCTAAGGAGAATTGATACGAGCAATTATCACACATAGAAATGGTTCCTTTATCGAAGTCTATTCACCAACGTCATACCTTGTTCGATGTTCGAATGGGATATTCATTATGGAATTATCAACTTCGTCAATTCGTTGTAAGTAATTCTTAATAATTAATTGTTAAGATATTATACTTTGAATACCTTGATTTAAATTTTAAATTGATTAAATTTAGAAAATATGTGTGGAAGTCATCTTCATGCCAACGTCAAAGTCCGTCGATAAATGAACGAAGCTTTTCACATGATTTTGCAAAGCCTATGGTTTATTTTTCTTTGTTGGGTGCTACTGAATTAGAGAGAATATGGGGATGGATGTCCCACAGTCCACAATAAAGTTTCCGGCCGAGACTTTCTTTATTAGTAGCCGAAATTGCCGAAACACTTTGGGCAAAAATTACTTTTTTATACAGTCAAACCTCGTTATAATGAATTTTTGTTATACCGAACAAAATCTTATCCCTATTTTTTTTTTATTAAATAAAAATTTCGTTATAATATTATTAAAATCCTACCAAAAAATCCGTTGTCCGTTGAAACGCGATTTAAATTAATATTCGAAAGTGTTACGGATATTCGAATATATAAAATTATTTGACACCAATTTCGAATATGCTAATTAATGTGAATATTCAAATATCATTTCGATTTTTGATATTTGAATAGGAACACTAATGAAAACTACATCTTTAAACTCTGGTATATATCATTAAAAAATAGGAGCTAATCAAAAGACAGTATATAATAACATTTGACTTATGAACAAACAACGTATGGATCTTTGAGTAATAAATTAGAAATGTTGGTTTATTTTATTTCGTTCACTCATTCATCTATTCATTAAAAGAAACATAACAGTAGCAGATAATGAATAATATTACTACTAATAATTTATTGTATATAACATCATACTAATGTTTGTTTTTTTTCAAAAAAAAAACAGATCTACCAATTAAACAATGGGATTGGATTATTGTTCAAAGTATAATATAATACAACTGTATGCAACGAAAGTACAATTAATTTATTATTATGGCTTATTATTACGTGGTAAGTAATAATATATTAATATATTATTAATAATAGTTTATTGTATACACATTGTATTAACGGGTTTATTATTATTATTATGCACGCGACCATCAAGGTAAGTAATAATATATTACTACTAATAATAATATTATTAATTTATTGTATACATAACATTGTATTAATGGGTTTATTATTATGGTTTATTGTTATTATTATGCACGCGACCATCAAGGTAAGTAATAGTATATTACTAATAATATTATTATTAACAATTTATTGTAAACATATATAACATTGTATTAACGGGTTTATAGTTTATTGTTATTATTATTCACGCGATCATAGTAAGTAATAATATACTATTGTATTAACAAGGTTCATTATTATGGAATATATTATTAATAATAATTCTTATTAATATATAACATTGATTTCTTTTCTTCCAAATGGGATTTACTATTGGTTATACATGATCATCAAAGCATAATGCAGTAACAATATTATTATCAATAATAAATTTTATTATATATATAACATAGTATTAATATTTCTTTCTTCAAAAATGGGATCATAGTTAAACAATGGGTTATTTTCACACAACAATTAAAGAAAAATTAGTTATTCAAAACATTAATTAAATTCTACTTAAATTAAGTGTGTTTTAATGGTATAATAAGTATGTTTTAAGTGTGCAAACTTTGCATAGGGTACACCAGCTGTTCTATCTCTGCTATCCCTTCCACTAGTTAATGGTATGATTAATCTTGGTTCAGCTGTGTCACCTTCTGTGCTAGTATCTGCTTGAACCAGTTC